ACTCACCTTTCCCAAGAGGTGCCACGGCCATAAAACAAACCTCACACCCCAGAGGCTGCTCCACCAAGATGCTACATTTAATAAAATGAAGCTTTGCTCTACCCTGGGCATCTCGTCACACTTTACCAATGTGAATTAACCAACCTGAGGCCTGGGAAGACAGCAGTCATTAGAAAGTGCATCTACTTATGGCCATGACTGGATCCACCAGTGTCATGAGATCTCTTCTAGCGGACCTTCTTTTTCCAAAACATTGCTCAAGATCAAACACTGAGTCAGTGGCAAAGCTGGGTCTCCTGACACATGGGTGGTCTGCACTAACCCTTGCACCCCAGACTCTCTACCCTGTGCAAAGAGTTTCCCCAGGCCTCCAGAAGGTCAAGTCTGGCTTTGGCAGCAGCTGTGCTATGTTCAGCCCAGGACCTGCCCAACTAAGTGAGAGCTGTCCGGGTCTCAAAGCACCACAACAGTGCTCTGGCTTCCCCCATCCAGACCAGTCCCGCCCAGTATGCCCCTGTCCTAAGCAGCGACAGTGTCTTCACGGGATGGGCATCAGAGCTACCATCCAACCTGATGCCCCTGGGACCTTGATGCTGCCTGCGTGTGGGTGCGTGCAGGTCTCTCCCCACACCCTTTGCAAGATCACCCCTTCGCTGGCTTCCACGAAACCGCTCTGCATTTCCACCCTCTTAAACAAGAGGGGAAAGAAAGCCCCAGATTAGCAGTCTGAGTGGGAGAGCAGGGCTGTGCTGTGGGGATGCAGGGAAAATGGAGGAAAACTTGCAACAGGGCGAACAATCAGGAAAATAAAGCAAAAACTGTGGTGACAGATGAGAAACACACTGTCTTCGGTAGGCAAATAGGGGTCTCACGAGTTTGTGTGCCAACGACCTCCTCTGCAAATGTGGGGAATAGGTAAGAGGGAAAGGTATTTGTATAACACCGGTTGTAGGGCTCCTTCAAAGATGGATGGGGCTTTGTTTTATAGAGGGGGGAAATGCCACAGAGCCCCTGGTAGTAGTCGGTCGAGACATAAGGCTCTGTTTGATTGGACAGCTAAGATGAGGGTCCTCCAAGCATGAGAGAGAAAATGAATTTGAAGCCATTTTTCACCTCTCTGAATTAAGCCCATGACCTGAAGCACAAGAGAAGGACTTTCTCCCCAGCAGAGAAGGATTTTTTCACAAAGGAAAAATCCCCAGAATGATAAATTTCCAACGCAGAGTCAAGCCCTATCTTTGGCTGGGAGTTAAAACCAGCCAGTCACCGCTGACAAGTGTTAAAACATTGGCAGTCTCTCTGAGCACTTCAAAACTGGCTGCCCTCCTTCGTTTTCACTGACGTGATCAGATGCTCCTTCTCCGAGCATTTCTTTTTCCCTTCCTGTTGTCCCCGCTGCTTATGGTGAGCTGGAAGTCAAATTCCAAGTTTTGCAGTTATTTTATGACCGGTGAAACTTTTGTTTGGTGTGTTCCCACCACGTAGGTACTTCCCTTTAAAAATGCCCAGAGATAATATTGCTAGAGCATTGATTTACTGTCAGCAGACATGTAGGAAACAGTTACTTGGAAGGGTTTCATTAGCCATGCAGCTAATGGGTCACAGGGAACACGCTAGCTTTTCTCCTCTTCCCACGCAGCAACAGAGGATGTGCTTTTTTAAATCACCACTACAATTAGAGTGGAGGGATATAATTCTGTTTGTACAGTTTTAATAGTGGCTATATATTGTTTTTGTAAAATTGGGTTAAAAATACCTGTTGCTCTGACTTGGCACACGGTCATGGGGATGTCTTATGTTTCAACAAGTTCTTGGGAATACTTATTTTTGATAGATTTGAAAGAGGGTGCTTTGGCAACGCTGACCATATGATCCTGGGCACCGGACAGGCACAGGGCAGCAGGTCATAAGTTATGTTACAGAAGGTGTTGATGAGTATAAATAGGGAAAAAAAGATTAAGCCAAGAAACTTCTTGTCCCTAGATGGATGCTGAGTCCTTTGGTACATATCCCTGCTGCTCTGGGCCCATTCACTTTGCTGCTCAATCGGTTTCAGTCTGCTTTAAAAACCTGACAATGCGTTAACCGTGCATAAAAATCCCCATCCCTAGATTTCGCCGTGCTCTGAAGAGCCCTGTAGGACTTTCAGCGAGAGGGGAAAAACTCTAGTAAAGAAGGCCATGACCCAGCAAACAGCTTTGTGCATGCTTCACTTTCCATGCTCAAATCAGTCAAGTGGAGTCAATAAGAAGATGCGAGGTCAGGGAGCAACCCCCTTCCCCTCGCTGCTCAGATTGTCGAGGGCTGATGGGTTAATTTGCTCCTGGACATTTTCACCTAACAAGTGCCTCGCCATCACGGGGACTGCAGACATCCCTCGGCTCCAGGGACATGCTGCTCCTTACTCACTTGGGTGCGCTCCAGCTGTGGATGCCATCCCAGCGTCAGGTGCACATTTGGGAAGAGCTGCAAAGGATTGCTGTTTTGGCACATCTGCCAGAGACACCCGAGGAGTACATTACCTGCTCCCAGACGGGTAGTTTGGTAACAAAAATCACCGTCAGTAAAACTTCCCCACGGCTGTGGTGCGTAAGCAGAGCCAAACGCCGGTTATGGTGGCAGCCGTGATGTTGATGATGGATGGCTTAACAGCTACCGCACTGACCTTTTAACTGCTGAGCTGTGGGTTCATGCCCTCGAGGGGGTTAAAAGGTGTCGGGCAGCTCTGCTGACGTTATTAAGTGGATTACATGATGCAGAGCAGAACACGGGTCTGGGTCCTGAGGTTGCCCTCAGGGCATGGGGTTAAAAGGCTGCGGCCGGGGTCAACCTGTAGGTCGGGTTGTTGACCTTTTTGCCTGCAGAGTTTGACCCTGTGACTGATGTGGAAGCACCTTCTCATACCTAACGGTACCCAAGCAGCCCCTGCTCGGCAGGGTGTCTGCATGGCACAGGTCATCCACCTGCTATGGAGAATCAGCCCACCTGTGATAGCTCATTGGAAGAGGTCTTCCTACCATATCCCTCAGTCCCAGCCCTTCACAGTAAAGACATGAAAAAGCCAAAGAACAAAAATCACAAGTGCTTCTTCCAATGACATATTCCTCTACCAACCGTTTAGCACAGGAATCATAGAAAATTGATTGCAAGACCTGAGCAATGCTTTGTGAAGAGGCCACAAGAGTCCACAAAGGACTGCCTTGTCCATAGCACTTAATCCCACAGCCAGTTCCCCCCAGTTTGAACCAGTAAGTGTAAGAGCATCTTCCCACCCACCTACCTGCAGTGATGGATGCCAGCCGGACGTAATCAAAGCCCCTGATGAACGGCTCGTAAGGGGAACTCTCCAGTACATTCATGCCTGGGGTGAAAAGAGAAGTTGGTGAGAAGGCAACTGAGGTTCCTGAGGGATGTCCGAGACACACAAGGTTCAACAGCTGCAGTGCAGGTTTGCTTGGTAGGTCCAAGAGGACGTGTGCTCTAAAGGCCAGAAGTAAATTGATATGCAGAGTCACAGGAACTGATGTGTGGCCATATCCTTAGAGAAGGGAATAGGATGTAACTGGCTTTTAAAAATATATCACAGCTTTGGCATAGGACAGCCTCTCAGAGAACTATTGAGTTGCAACCCTCTAAAGCTCAAGTCTTGGACCCCTTTACAGGGGAATGCCACGGAGGACACCAGACTGTAACACAGGCTCTTGCTCATGGGCAGAGTTCAAACCACCAGCTCCCTACATACTCTGCTATCTTCTGTATGTCCCTCCCTGGGTCAGTGGTCCTCACCTGTTTCTAGGACACGGCCAGGGCTGTGCACAAGGTTCATATTGATTAACACCTCTGCCCTTCTCCTTGCCAACAGCCCTTTCTTACGTGGCACGGAGCTAATGACCCACAGCTCCCGCAGAAACTTTCCCTCTTCATTTTTAAGTTGCTGGGAAGCTAATTTTATTCAATCGGTGCTTCCCTTTCATCCGCTCAATGGTCTGTAATGCCCCGTCATCTTGATGGATACCACAGAATATTATTGAAGCAAACAGCTCAGTATCATTTTTTTTTATTAGACATTTAGATGGATATGGACAGCAGCAGCAGATGTACTGGCTGGGATAAAAGGACTATCAAACCTCATGCTCTGGGCATATGCTGATCACCAGCTGCGGTCAGGAAGAAATGGCTCCCAGGGTACACAGCCCTGTGCAATTACCACAGGTGCATTACAAGGCAGCTTTACACCTTCATTGAAATATCTTGCATCGTTACTGACTGGAGAGGGGCCCATTTGTATGTTCCAGTGTAGCAGTTTTATGTCCTGATGATATAGCACCTTATCAGAGAATTGTTATCGGGTTGTCATCATGTTATTGTGTCTCCAAATGGGAAGGTGGCTAAACACAGGCGTGCTCAAGAGAAGCTGCGTAAATAGTATGCTTTGTAAATTCCCTGAGCACACACTTCCACAATTGATTTTATAAGAGGGCTTCTAGGAAGGTTTTTACAGCCTCCTGGGTACGTGAGACTGAGCGACGAAGCCCTGCGCGGAGCATGTGGATTGGCTTCCCTTCTCAGTCAATTAAACACGTGTAAGGACTCTGCAACATGTGACTATTATGAAATATATTTCCCCAGGGAAATTAAGGCAAGGAAATCAAAGGTTTGGGAGTGTGAATCTGCATTGCACGTGAACTTGGTGCTTGAAAAAATGCGGAGCTCAGAACACGACAGCAGAGGAGAAGTAGGGCAGAGTCTTGGCCGTCTCCAATAACAGCCCTCTCACAGTCATCCCCAAGACGGACGTCCCAAGCCGCTGGGCAGGAAGCCCATCCAGCCTGGCCATCCAGCACCCATCTCCTACTCTGCATCTGGAGACCCACGCCTGGCCCCTGCCTGCTCCCAGCGCTCCCCGCCATCCTCTCCCTGCTCTTCCAGCAGTGGTCCCGGAGCTGGAAGTCCTCCTGACGCCACTGCCCTGCACAGCCACATCACAGATGAACTGTGTCCAAAGCTTCAGGCCACGAAGGTCCACAAGGAAGGGGTTGCGACGTAGCCTGTTAAAGATGAATGGAGAGGCTGGATTGCCACCTCTCCCCCAGGTTTCACTTCAACACAAACAAGTTCACCTGGCAAGTAATTACGGGAAAGATTGGATCCTGGAGAGTGGTGAGGTCTCTTATTTCCTCAGTCAGTTCATATCACCATGCTCTGCACCCTGCAAGCTGTGGCACCCGAAAGCTTTCCAGGAATTCGATCGAACACTTCCTTTTCTGACAAGCCTGTGCATTATAGTCTCCATCCTCTTCGTTTTGCTTGGCCTTTTGGCCTGTGTTATCACCCCTGCACCTTTCCTTTCGGTTTTCAGCCAGCAGTGTTTTATTAATCTATTTCGCAGCCCATGGCTGGAAGGTTCTGTTTTATTCCCCATTTTAATTTTCATGGTGCATAAAATACTCACCAGCCTGACAAGGAAGAGTTATGGCCACTGAGGTGCATTTTTATGATGACTCTTAAAAAACGTCAAAATCCAAACTTACTAAATACCGGCTCTGGGAACACTTTAAATTCCAACTTGATGTCACCAGCCCCAAATCTTCACTAACCCAAAGACACTGGTGCATTTGAGAGCCTCCAAGACAGTGATTTTTTTTAAGTTCATGCTCTTTTTTCCTCAATGCCCACGCTTTGTGTAGTGTTTCTGTAAAATCCATGGCTTTCGTGGTCTTGGTTAGCATACTTAGATGCAAAACATACCACGCATTTCTCCAGCAAAAGATGACGAGTTATACTGGGAATATCATAAAAAAGAGGCCAGGTTAAAAAAAAGGAGGTGTCTCAGGTTTTCAGGATCGCTTTCCCCAAAATTTCTTTACCGTGGGGGTCAGTAGGTCTTGAGAGGGAATGGGATACTACAGGGGTGACCTTTTTTGCAGCCACTTTGGTGCTGGGGAGCTCTGTAGAAAGCCCCAGCAGTAATTCCTTTTTACGAAGATCATCAGAAATGAGTACCCTGCTCGACTGACCTTCCATCAACGTGTGGTGGATGCTCCAGTAGACACTCAAGCAGTGCTTCTCCTTTTTCATGCCTCGCTTGCACTTGCAGCCGTACAGCTGGCTGGAGAGCAGGGCCGTCACGGTGCTCCGGCACTGGTTCTTGGCATCGGGGCCCAGCTTGTTGGCTCCATTGCCTGCGATGCATTGCCGGAGGGTTCTGAATTTGGCGCTGCAGATGGGGTCGTTGGTGCAGGACTCGCCTGCTTGAAGGCAGTCCCTGCTCGAGCTGACAGCTTCTGCCATACCTTCTGCAAGAAAACCAGAGAAGGGGTGTGAGGGTGATGGAGCAACCCCAAGTGGGAAAGGAATCGTATCTCCCATGAGCTGGACCAGGCTGGGATGTCCATCTTCACATGCAGAGATGGAAGTCCCTCTCATCACCATCCACTCTACAAGCAATGACTCTGCTTCTGAAGTCTTTAAGCGGGCAGATCCCTCTCCAAAAGGTCAACTGGAGGGTTTAAACGCCGGGGCTTGCCACTCCTACTCATGGATTGTCCCCATGATGGGGCTGAAACACACTGGCTGCTCGAGTGTGCTGCAGCACTGCTCAGCAGTGTCGCAGAGGAACAGGAGTGGTTGAAAGGAAGTTGGAGGGATGTTAAGGAGACAAGACACAACCTGAGATTCAACACCTCAACCCAGCCCTTTCTCCCATATTGCTGGGCCACCAGCAGCAGTGAGATACATGTGGCCTCCAACTGAGGAGGCAGAAGGAGAGGTCACATCTCTCCTGGAGACCAGGTTCTTCCTGATTTGAGAGAGTGACAGGATTTGAGAGTGATTTGAGAGATTTGACAGGATTATATGTGGCAGAGACTTGACCAGCTCCTGGTGCTTGCTCTTTCCCGCTTGGAGCACAAAAAGCTCTCCAAGCACTTTGCTCCCCCAGCTCTCTATCTCGTTTCTGCCCTCCAAAGTCCACAGCAGCCCAATGCTATGGAGACCCCAGCCTCTCCTCCTTGCATGCAATTTAACCCTGCCTACACCTCCCTGAAGCTATGAATGGCTCTGCGTGGGGTGTTTTGACATAGAGTCAGCCCACATGTGTCCCAGGAGTTGGCCCTTGTTCACCCACCATTTTGTCTTGGCTTTTTCCAAGCTTCTGTAAATTCTCCTCAGAGTTACTTGGAAAAAATACAAAACGCTCTGTTCCCCATGCTGAGAGGATAAAGGAAAGCATGGGAGGAAGACATTATTGCTACATGTACACCAATAAATTAAACATGCTCAGCAGGGCTCGGTGGTGCTCTACCCCCATGGCCTGGAGCAGACCATTTCCATGCTATGAAATGTTCTTCCTCTCTAAAGCAGGCTGGCCACATGCACACTGACTCCTGGGGATGGGTCCTGGCTCCAAGGCTGACGGCGGCATGGCTGCACCTCGGCAACGGCAGGGCTCAGCCGTGTTCAGCGGGGCATGGTGGCACCCAGGTGGTAGAGAGGAGACAGGGGTCTAGAACAAGGCAAATTGCATGCTTTCCCGTTGGTGTGATGCTCTGGAGCATGTTGGCATAGGTCAGGCATGACTGCACCATGGCTTGGGGGAGTGATGAAGAGGGAAACCTGGTTTATGGAAAGGGAGAATCAGCTCCCATGCCTATAACGTAATTTCGGATCCTGCTGTACTATGAAAACAGAAACTGCTGTCATGAGCTTGAAGGAGGACTTCTCAAATGCTTCCCAAGGGAACTCCTTGTCCCTAGCAGAACTTAACTTGTCTTCCCTTTCGATAGGAACCAGAAGGGTAAGGATACTTTACCCTTCACGGGGTAGATAAGGCAGGGGCATCTTCTGGTTTTTGAGCCCCTCCGGGGTCTGCTCCTGGTGAGACCCAACCTGGACAACATTAGAAAATCCTCTCTCCTGGGAAAAATGCGGGGCCCTGATTTCTATCTCTGAGGGCTTCATGAGATCTGCCCTCTCTCCAAGAGTCTATTGATCTCTCCATAAAGTCCCTTTTTTCCTCCTTTCACCTGCTACCTCTCCTGCCCCGAATTTCTGCATCTGCCTCTGCTGCCCTCCCAGTTCACCGCTTGAGCCCAGTATATCCATTTCTCTTCCCTTAGCAGTCGCAGGGTGTTTGCTAAGACGGAGCTGCTTCTGTTGCTCTTGATTAGAGTAGAAGGTAGCAGCTGGAGTTCAGATATTTCAATTATGTTTATTACAAACTTTGGGTGAACCCACCAGGAGGTTTCCTCCTGAAATATCCCAATGGCATCTCAAATGTAAAACCTTTCATCAAACTCCAGACTATTTCAAAGTGCCTCATGGCCAACGTCAAGCTTCCAGTTATCTCAAATCTCACAACACCTCAAATTTGAGTTGTCCTACCCCTGATTTATTCATAGACCTAGTTTATTTAGCACTCAGATCTTGTTTGGATCTGCCAAATGTGGAGAGAGAAATTATTTCCAACGTGTAGGAAACTCTGCCTTGGGCTGTCGTATCTTGAAGAACTCCGAACACAAGGAACCAGTTTCCTTGAAATATCATTTGGTCTGCAATTTCACAGAGATCTATAAAATGAGCCAGAGCTGCTCATAGTCTCTGCTTTCAGACACCACTGAATTTTCCACACACGTATCTGCGCAGAATCCATAAGGGTAAAAAAAAAAGTGCTTGACTTATTTTGCCCTGGCTTTCTCCAAAGGATCTCCTCTGGACAAGGATAAAGCATGGCAGGTTTTATTCTAGAAGAGATGACTTTGTCAGTGTCATGTCAGCTGCTAGAAAAGTAGGTTAAAATAGAAATTATGACCCTCCTTCCCCCTCTCCGCTACATGAATTGCAGAAGATACTCCCCAGGATGGTTATAAACACAGCCAGCCTGCAAAAGCCGTAAAACACTTTGGGATCCCACTTTAAATAAATCAAACAGATTGACCATTTGAGAAATTTTCCTGCAAAATTTTAAGTAAATATATCCTCAAGCTGAGACTTGCTTCATAGAACAAAGGCCAGGGGTGAATATTTACAGCCCAAGCCCGAAGCATAAAACACCTCCATTCAGCCTTTATGACAGAGGTGCTTGAAGCAACTTGAAGTGGAGCGTCACGAATGACCCGTTCCATAATCATGTCACTTAAAAACCAAATCATTCAGGGGCTTTTATTGTTAGCGATGTCTTTGCAACTGAGACAACATAACACCACGTTTTCCTCCTCACACTACCCCTGAGAGAGTAATTTTATGCAACATTAACAGAGAGCCTCTTAGGGGGAAGAAAAAAAAAATCTCTGTGACTTATAAAATAGATGGTGTTTCCTAACAGGCAGGGACAAAAGCAAAATCAGGTCTTCTCTCCCAAAGATGGAGTGGCCTTTCTGGTTTTGCCTTCAAAAATAGCACCTTGCGGACTCTCCACCACGGGGTTTTCCTCCGCCTCTGCCCCTGGCTGACCAGGGGGCTCGGGATATGCACTGGGTCGTGCATGGCTTGGGCTTCCCGTGCCTCTGCTTTTCTAATAGCAGACCTTCCAGCTCCCTCTGCTCTCTTTAAAAGGCCGTTTGTCTGGATTTTTATTCCTCGCTTGCTGCTAATTTCACGCTGTTTACGGTGGGCAGATGGAGTAATGAGTTTATTTTCACATCCTGTTTGTAGCTATGCGGCACATCTGTTTCTACTCTTGCTTACCTCGGTGACATTTACATAAAGTTACTCCTCGTGTGCAGGAGTCAGAGAAAAATCTGGCTCTTCCCATTGCCTTAACAGACCCTTGGTTCTTCTTATACGAGTATCTCACAGTCCATTTTGTTGAAGAAGGAGGTCTGACTCTCCTCCAAGGAGACCATCTCCTTCACCAAGGAAATGCAGCTGTGTCTGGGGTAGAGAAGTGTGAAGGTGACCCCATGTGCCAGTTGGGAAACGGTGAACAAAATGCCTGGAGAGCACCAACACCAACCAACACGTGGGCTTCGGATGTTTTAGGAGGAACCGCACCGTTTCTCATGGTGCTGTTCAACCTGGAGCTTTGGGATGCGTCCCCCTCCCCTCCAGTTTTTGTATGTATTAGGTGTGAATCCTTTTACACCCCTGATCCACACCCAGTCCTAGGGAGTAATGAACACTGTTACTATTTCTATGACAAACTGTTTACTCCAGAACTTTGGTGTTTGCTTTTACAATATTTGCTGCTAAAAGAATAACTATCCAAAATCTCCCACAAAGCAACAGGAGTGGTTTGTTACGCCTTTTGGTTAGTTGGACATCTTTTACATAATTATTCCTAAGTCAGGCCTGCCAAATCTTGCCACAATGAGTACAAGTATGATGCAGAAGGCTCCTGCCTCTCACTCCCCTTGTGCTCAGGCTGGATCTCTTGTGCTCATGCATCCTCCATGCTGCGGGATCCCTTCTGCTCTGCCACCTCAAGTGCCTTCAGAGGTCTTCTGCTGACCATACACATCACATGCAACATGGCATGGTGTGTGAGAGGCTGTCCGTCTACAAGCCTTGGTTTGCCTGCAAAGCTGGATGGGTCTACCTCACGCCAGAGTCAGTCTACCAGCCAGCACACAGGCTGGGAGAGGACATTGCAAAGTGTACCTGCATCCTGTGCTAACTTGACAGACACCTGCAGAACCGGGGTCTAAACCTGAAGTGGGCACCAGACCGTCCCTCCGTGTTCAGCTGGGAGAAATGGCCATCATTGAGCACTCCTAATAGGCTGGGTCAAATTAAATCTGCGGGACAGATGTTAGTGCTTGCTAATAGGCAACTGCCTGATATCCAGAAATTTTCAACTTACCCAGAACTGTCAGAAGTAAGTTGTTACACACAGTTTTCCTGGAGTGAAAAATGATGGGAAAGGGAGTTTGGAAGAAATATTCCCAGTATTTCCCAAATATGCATAAACCAATAATGATGCATGAATGAGTCCAGGTGGCTAATGCAGGTGGCCACTGCTAAACCTTGTTAGACTACGTTTTCACATCATGATTTTACAGTCAAGTGCTCAGGATCACCTAAGGAACAAGCCCATGTATACAGCTCAAACTTCATTTCCCATTTACTGTTGAAATAGCTGCAGAGTGTGCAGTAGACTGCCTTTCCTCCACGTGCATACTTTGGATATGCCTCCACCTGCATACCTTGGATTTTTTACCAGTAGTGTAAGAAGTTGTGGCTCACAGGTGTCCCCCTTTTCAGGGGTCTCATTTGCAGTGGGGTTGAGGCATTAAAGAGTGCTTGAGGCATGCAAGAGTGGCAGTCCTACACCGGGAATTCATTGTCCGCATTGCACTAACA